ATTTAAAAGTGGTCTTATGAGCACATGAATGCTACTGTGCGATATATTTTTACATTTATATTTAAGAAATACAATATAAGACAAGCACAAGTTTCATTTGTGGGCCGTATTTCATTATACTATCTGAATTAGCTGAGGGCCGTTTCAAAATGGTTTGGACACCCCTGATCTATGCTCTACATCAGGGGTGGGGAACCTTTTTCCTATCAACGGCCATTTCAATTTTTCCAACATCCTCCGAGGGCCGTACAAATGATTGACCTCTGCTTAAAAATACTAAAATCACAGCCCATTCATTTGGCCTTTCTTTCATGCTGTGCAAAGAAAAAGCAACCTCTGAATCCAGATATTTCACCATGACTCGCGCATGCACGTGCATGGTGTGGCATGACCACCCAAACAGAAAGATATGGACACAAGATGTGTGCAAATGTATTTAGTATCCTATCCATGTGGACATGATTTAAGTGGGGGGGGGCCTAACCTCCTCTGGGGGGGGTCCATCCTCCCCCGGGAAGATTTATTTTTAAATGTTGAAGTTAAAGCATCAATCTGGTGCACTTTGAGAGCAACATTAGGAGATCTATGGAAACATCTCAACACCCATTTGAAACAGAACTGGAAGCAGATTTTATTTTCTTTATGGACATTTTATCACTCCTCTTTCAAACTGTATTCTTCTTTATTAATAACAACTTTTTTTTACTGTCATATAGTATTTTATACCTGTTTACTTTATTCTCTTATTTTTTTATAACTATAATGATCATATAAAGATGTGCCTTTACCTCACTGGTTGTAGAAAAAGCTTCTTATATTCGTTAGCATAGCTAGCTAACCAGATGCTAATAACAACAAAGTTATTGACTGTATGATCAGTATGACAGATGAACAGATCGCCACTGGGCTTTCAAGTAAAGACACAGCCACGCACGGTACGGCTCCTTATGGGTACTGCGATTTCTGAATTGCCGGAGCGGCGTTCTGGTGCTCTCCGTCAGAACTGCACCCGTCACACGAGACATACCACGTGATGACACAAATGGTCTTGCGTGCCGTATACGGCCCGGGGGCCAGAGGTTTCCCACCCCTGCTTTACATTAATGCACACAATGTAGACATATCTGTTTTTTTTTACTGCACATATTTGATATGTTATTCCATTCTATTTCAATGTAAATACTGCTTTATGTTTCTATATATTGTTGTTATGTTATTATTACAGTGTTCTTAAAGTAGTTATCTGTGTTTCTGAATGTTTGTTTTACTTGTATGTATGCACCACGACACCAAGTCAAATTCCAGGTACGTGTCAACCTGGTAATAATAATACATTTTATTTGTAAAGCACCTTTCATTGCTAAAAGCAATCCCAAAGTGCTCCAAGAGGTGTAACAGAAAGAATAAAAAAGAAACAAGTTTAATCAAAAGCTTTTTTTTAAAGAAAGGTTTTTAGGCCTTTCTTAAAAAGGCGTCAGTGGTCTATAAACCCGTTTCTGATTCTGAGATACAGCCCCACTGCAGCAGCTTATCGTGAGAAAAGAGAACATTACAAGCCTTTTCTTCTCAGTGGCTGAAGGCGAAAACGTTCTCCGGTACAGTCAGTCTCAACGCATCAGAGTGTCCTCACCAGCGGAAAAGACAGGGGGGGCTTTTGAGATCTAAATGCTAAATTATCTTGACAGGCCTTCAAAAAGGAATTAAAAGAGCCATTATATTGGTGAACAAAAAGAGGCTGGAGGTTAAAAACCTAATTATGTTCAGTCCTCTCCCTCTCTCTGTCTCTGTTATCAGATCCGGAGGGAAACATTTCATTCAGAAAGAGAAATGACAGAAAAATCTCTCAGGGCTGTCCTTGAAGGATTTTCTTTCGCTGGCCATGTTTATTCACAGATTAAAGTAAACAAGGTCACAAACAAAAACTGTTCATGTTTCCAGTTGAAAAGGCAAATTGAACTGTTGTACCTTTCCTATGTTAAGGACAGGACAGTTTTGTTATTCTGCACATCGTAATGGCTCTGGATTATTTATTTGTTTATCTTTTCACAGATACTAGAGGTCACTGTCATGTTACAAAACACAAAATAGCGTCTTTTACTGGCAGTAGCCCAATCCTATCATTTCTTTAAACAACCTACTGCTTTTGACAGACTGGCATGGATTCTATCATATGTTTGTGCCACTAAATATGTTTTGTTTCCCTCTGAGCACCAACCGGAAGATTCTTGCTCTCAAACTTTGTGCGAATGAGCTCGTTACTGGTCAGTCTGACAGCCATACAGCGAGGGAGGAACACGACACAAGTCACACACTCAATAGCAGCATCATCTGGTGTCCGTTCTGCCGATCTGCTTCAGAAATCAGGCTTGTTGGTGAGCTCGGAGCAGCCACACAAACAAAGGTGTTGCGCTCAGTAAAAAGACTCTGGGTGCTGGGATTATTTCTGGAGGCGGCGGCTTCGAAAGGCATCTGCTCTGTTCTCATTGGAAACGATTGAAAACTAAATCTGGCTCAGAAAAAGGCTCTTTGTGGACACGTCCATTAGGAGAAACACAGTGCCATTTTTTTAATGATTAAGATAACACAATAATAATGTGCCAAAAGTTTAACACATGCAATTGAGTTGAGATCTTCACCAGCTCTGGAACTCCCTCCCCCAAGACCTCCGTGAGTCTGATTCCCTCACCCTGTTCCAGTCCCGTCTCAAAACCCACCTCTTCAACTCTGCTTAGCCTTAAACCCGCCCCTCCCCCCTCTGAATCAACATCCTCCTGACTGCTTTTCGGTTTTTGTTTTGTTTTTGTTTTTGTTTGTGTTTTTGTTCTTGTTTTGTTTGTCGACCTGACTCATAATGTAAAGCGTCTTTGGGTCTAGAAAAGCGCTATATAAATCCCATTTATTATTATTATTATTATTACAACGTCAACAACGTCAAGGGATTTTACAAGTTTGCATTTAGAAAAAATAAGCAGATTTGTCTCCTACCATCAACACTGATTGCCCAGCTTATGTTTATCATATCATTTGCTCCATCTGTCACCAACTCCCCTCTCAGTTCCTTCAGGGAGGATGGAGAGAAATCACTTTCTGGAGGTGCCACTGGAACAAGAAACCATTGCGATTACCCTCCTCTTTTTTTTTACAACGTATTCATTCATTATTCCTTACGTCCTAATTTGGTGGGTTAACATTCCTTTTGTGTGATCCTGACTCATGATGTCCCAAAAGAGTTGTAAGCTTTGGAGAGTCAAATTAAATTAACAGTCAAATCTTCTAAGACTGCAGTGGCATACAACTAGCACTGTTTTTGATATCATCCACTATAGTGGCTTGAAAAACAACATTATATTATTAACATTTGAGGTCAGAATCCTCATCCATAGAATGAAAAAAATGTATAAACCATACCATGACTTTCATGTTTACGGCATTCGACTTTCTGCAAAGAAATTCCAGATATAGACCACTGACATGTACACATAAAGATAAACTCATAAACGATTTATGCATTAGCCATTAGAAGTCGATAACTTACAATTTCTTGTGATGTTACCTGTGCCGCCACAAAGAAGAAACAAATCATTGTGGCTCCCCACATCATCAACAGCAGGTTGGACCTTAAAAACAATCAAAACAAAAAGGAGGAGATTTGAATTAAAATAAATAAATGGAAAAAATTGGTGATATTACACTTGTAAAGTGCTCAGCATCTGACTGTCAAGCCGCCGTGCGTTGCTGGGTGATCCCGTCGGTGTCAGTGACACGCAGGTTATAAATACAGCCCGCAAGCCCCGCCTACCGCCAGCAGCTATTTTTTTTTTTTTGGCTGGAGTTAAATCGGTTCCAGTCTCCTGTTTCATCGAGGTAAGGTTTTCTTTTCTACTCCTCCATTCAGTTATTCGCGTCTGTGTTGACATTCCCCTACTCGTTATTCTGTAAAGTTACATTCAGTTTTCTCTGCAACACCTTAAAGTTAAACTGCACACGACCTAATGTAACGGTTCTTAAGTCCTGCAGAAAGCCTCAACATTTCTGTCAACATCTACTAAGTGCCTCTGAAGATTTCCAAAACACTTATGCATTTTCAAGTGTTTGAAACGTGTTTATATCAAGCACATGTGTCTAAAAAGATCTGTAGACCTTTGACTGTTAAACTGATAAGCTAACGGTTGCGAAATGTCCTTCATCCTAAACATTTAGGCTGATTCAGACAAGCCAAAAACAAGTTACTCGAACTTGGGGACATTGTGTTTTTTCCACATGTTGTCAATGTTTTAGTGTATATTTATTTCGGCTGTTTATCGACTTAGAAGTGTTGTTGACTTTGCTGCAGTCACTAAAACTGCTAGTGAGTGGTTGCTGGTTTATTGACAGTCCTCCTGACCTACTTATCTGCATTGTCCTGAATGAGAAGACCTAACACTCTCTCTTTGAACTAAACGCACTATGGAATAGCCTTCCAATAAAAGATTTACAAGAACATAAAGTTTATTGGAGCCTTTGCTTTGTAATAGGGGCGGATCACATGTTTTGGTGGGGTGGCCAATCTGGGGCACAGACTCAGAGCAAGGTGGCACATTTAAAGGTCTCCTCGTCAATATTTTATAGGTCTCAGATACAAAACATGTCTCTGAAGTGTTTGGCTCCAAATACCAAACAGATCATGCATTGTAGCATCCCATAATCCCCTCTTTTTTAGCCCTGTTTCAAAAGTGCTGATTCTCTGTCTGTTACTTTAGATGAAAATAAGGAGCCACTCCCCACGCCCCTCTGAGAGATATTTGGTTAAAAAGAACACAATGGTGCTCTAGGAAGAGATTTAGGTGATACGGTGGGGGGTTTACCTTGGTTGGTTATTGGCTAATGGTTACACAAGCCAAAACATCGTTATGACATCATAAAGTATCCAAAATCTGATCAGCTCATTTTCAGGCAGGTTTCTATAGAAATGGATCAGGACAAAAAATGAGCGAAGTTTTTTTCCTGAACCGTTCAGAATTTCTTTACAAAGAGGGGACACATGTTTATGTATAAAAGACAGGAAAAGGTGGATTTTTCATAATAGGTGACCTTTAAATCACTTTAAAAAGTAAAACTGTAAAAATGACAGCCCTACTCTATAAAAATACATTATTAGCAGCACAAATGCAAAAGAAGCATATACACGACACTACACAGTTTTAAAGATCCAGACAGGGGTGTTGCTTGGACCTAGTAACATCGGGGGCTTAGCCCAGCCCGACAGTTGTACATTCCAAAATATATACTGTATCTATAGAGTATGTTTTTAATCTGTAATTAATGTTGTGTTTTATATATTTTGAAGTGTGTTGTTTTAATTATGATTTTTTACTCTGAAAAGTGTCTCTCTATGATAGAGCAGCATTTGGTACATTAAGGAGAGAAACTTTAACATCTCTCCTCAAAAACAGCAAATGATCAAAAATAACTGCCTCCAAGTGAAGTATTTCTAGTTGAGTTGAGATAAAAAAAAAAGGTCAAGGTGTGACTGGAGAAGAAATGTCAGCCAAACGCATATCTGTAACCCACACTTTGCATACTTAGAGAGCCAGTAAACAAATGAGCACATTTATCCACATCTCAACGCCAGATGTATTTCACCCTGTTCCAGCTTTCCCCCTCAAGTGAATCCTTTAATGTCTGTTCTTCTGATTTACAGTGAATGAAGAAACCCCTCCCACAACCAGGATGTTGTTTTTGGCAATGTCAGGCCAAACTGGGGCCCGGCGAGTTGTAACTGCGGCTCGAGGGAGATTTACGAAGGATGGCAGGTGCCTGTTTACATGTTGGCCAGAACTTGTTTACAGGAATAGTAACCAGTACTCGTCCAACCATCACAGATGTTTAAATACCACAGCTGCTCACTGGAACGCTTCGTCATCACCAACAGCCAATCAGAAAACCCCTTCCTACAGTTATATCGTTGTTGGGGCAGGGTCAGCGGGCTGCGTCCTCGCCAACCGTCTCAGTGAGGACGCCCATGAGTCCGTGCTGCAGCTGGAGGCTGGGCCTAAGGACATGCTTCTAGGCATCAAAAGACTCTCATGGAAGATCCACATGCCAGCTGCACTGACCTACAACCTCTGCGATGACAAGTACAGTAGTTAATTATTTCACATGGACTAATCTATAAAACAGATTTATTTGCCTTTTCATTACTGCTCTCTTTTTTTTCTTTTTAAGTGTGTGCAAACATGAGTAAATTCAACACAAAGGTAGAAAACATGACACTTTTTGACTTGATGTGATTTCCTTTTTAACCAAAACATCAGTCCTTTAAAATACTTTTTTGCAAAATTATGTTATACAGTTTTCTCAACTAACAGTTTAGTAAATATGAAAGCGGAAAATCGGCCCATTCCAGAAAAAAAATAGTTATTACTGAATAAAATAAAATAAATGCACAATAAGGCAAATATAGATTTATAACATTGTTTGAATAAATAAAAAATGGACAAGTAATTTTAACAAATCATCTACTGTAGGTGTCACATTGTGATCAATGCAGCATTTTGATAACTTTCTCAATATAGTAAAATGTTATTAAACTGTTAAACTGGTTCCATTTTGATGGCATGCTTTATTTCTTCACGTTTCTCCTCAGGTATAACTGGTACTACCACACTGAACATCAGGCTAACATGGACAACCGGGTGTTGTACTGGCCGAGGGGCCGTGTCTGGGGCGGGTCCTCTTCACTTAACGCCATGGTGTACATCCGCGGACACGCTGAAGACTACAACCGCTGGCAGAGGGAGGGGGCCGAGGGCTGGGACTACGAACACTGTCTGCCTTACTTTAGGAAAGCTCAGTGTCATGAGCTGGGAGAAAACAGGTACAAAACAAAACTCCCTTGTCCGTCCGTCCGTCCGTCCGTCCGTCCCTCCGTCCGTACACATTTTATTTTTTTGATGTATAAACATGGATAGTAGGGAGCCCTAACTCTGGCAGTGCTAATGCTTCAATGCCACAGACTCACTTGGCTTCAAAATGCATCCTGGGTGGCAACTAATTTAAAGGAAATGTGCAGTGGCACAAGGATCCCTCGTCACGCAGAACCTGGTCGCATGAGTTTCAAAGGTTACATTTAATGCGTCAGATCTAACTTTGGCACATGCGAATTAATAATAAAGACTTGTGTGGTCTGTAAACAAATAGAACAGTAGATATCAGAAAAGCCATGCATCTTTCCTGGTGTTATTGTAAAAGATAATCAGGTTGTCTGTAGTTTGGTTTGCGTGTGACTGTAACTAGGCTTGTTTGAGATGAGCTGCAGACGAGAATAGCCGATTGCAGCCGGGGGAGGTCTCAAAAGGCTCGCCTGAAGTCGGATAGCTCGGAGTCGGCTTGACTCGGTTTGCATTTATAAAGAATGCACAAATGTGTTTAATCTTTAATGTCAGATGTGTACTAAGTAAATACATTTGTTCCTGCTCAAGATTAGATTCAACTTTATTGTTATTGCACATATTACAGGTACTGAGACAACGAAATGCAGTTTAGCTTCCAACCAGGAGTGCAACAAGCAGTAAAGTGAAAAGTAATGTACACAATCTACAGAATAAAATATAGAATGAATTGAATGATGAATAAACAGTGAGGAGGGGTATTAATATACACAGCAGCCTGTGAGCAGTATGAACAGTGTGTATGAATATGCTAAGATATATAAAGTATGAAAACGGTAAGCAGTGCAAGTATAGTATAAAATATATAGATATTAATTTCATGATGATAAACATTGTGGAACAATGATGAAAAATGTGAATGGAAGTGGCGACGTAAAACTGACACAAAACAACAGCAAACTTTTGCCGAGCCAATTGGAGAGTTTCATCAGCAGCAAGGGGTAAAAACCACCAATGAGCGCTCAGCCCGAGATAGCAGCGAGTCGTTTCCCATCAAGCATTTTGCTTCCGCAGCCCGTGGAGAGGAACTGCGCCGCCGCGCCTCGCTCTCAAGGCTGCGGGCGTCTTTCAACGTCTCATGTAGGCGAGCCTCCAGAGCAAGTCGGACAAAATGACTAACCATCATGCAACGCACTAGCAAGACGTTGATCGCAATTGCGCAGGTCTGCGTCGGTCTCGCTTGTCTCAAACAAGCCTAGTGTGTCTGTGAGGCCCCGCCCCCGCACGCAGATGAGAGAGAGAGAGAGAGATCTCTTTTTAAATATATTGAAAGTTAGAAACGGAGATGGTTAGATGAAATGTGCAAGATAACGTTTATGTGGCATTTCTTTATTGTTGAAA